ATATATATATATACATGCTCTTATATCATATATATTTTATGAATGTACAGGGTGTCCCCAAAAAATGTATATACACTTTAACAGCTGATAGCTAAAATTTGGAAATGAAATGTATTTTAATAAACTCTGCCTTTTAATTATTCAAAGTGTGTGTATACATTTTTTGGGATAATATATATATACATACTAGAGGCCCAGTGCACGGGTAGAGTCCCTAGGCCTGGCTGATGATCAGGGCTGATTGGGGCCTTCTGGCTGCTGGCCGAGGCCTTCCTTCCCCAGCTGCCGGCAGCCGGCCCATCCCCCTTCCCCCTCAATTGATTGCCCCGCCAGCCGGTGGCCTGGGCCTCCCAATGTGAGGTGATTGTGGGGCAATGGTGGGGCCCCCCGACCAATCGTATAGCACCCACCTTGGCTGGTCTGGCGCCAGTGAGTGTCATAATGTGGTCATCTGGACAGTCGTCCCACTGCTTGGCTGTTTGGTCAATTTGCATATTGTGCTTTTATTATTATAGATAACTGGAAGTATCTTTTGATTCTCTTCACCCATTTTACCTACCCACCCCCACTCCTCCTCTGACAACCCCCAAATTGTTCTCTGTGAGTTTGGTTTATTTATTTTTAATGTTTTTATTGTTTTTTTAGGGAGAGAGAGAGATAAGAAACATCAATGAATGAGAAACATCGATTGGCTGCCTCCTGCATGCCCCCTACTGGGGATTGAGCCCAAAACCTGGGCATGTACCCTGACAGGGAATAGAACCAGGGACCTCTTGATTCATGGGTTGATACTCAACCACTGAGCCACACCAGCTAGGCTGGCTTCTTCTTAGATTCCACATGTAAGTAAGACCATAGAGCAGTGGTTCTCAACCTGTGGGTCGCGACCCCTTTGGGGGTTGAATGACCCTCTCACAGGGGTCGCCTAAGACCATCGGAAAACACATATATAATTACATATTGTTTTTGTGATTAATCACTATGCTTTAATTATGTTCAATTTGTCACAATGAAAATACATCCTGCCTATCAGATATTTACATTCCCATTCATAACAGTAGCAAAATTACAGTTATGAAGTAGCAACGAAAATAATTTTATGGTTGGGGGTCACCACAACATGAGGAACTGTATTAAAGGGTCGCGGCGTTAGGAAGGTTGAGAACCACTGCCATAGAGTATTTGTCTTCCTCTGTGGGTCATGTTGAGTCCAATTGTGTTGATTGCTTTGCTTCTTAAAAATGGATTGTCCCCTGCCTCTCAGGCACAGCTTCTAAGCTCTAGTTGAATCTCAGACACCATGTTCTCACGGAAATGGACAGAAACAGCGTTTCCTACGGAGGCGGATGCCTCTCCTCTGTCAGGTCACCGTGTGTGGTGGGGGGAGGGTCGAATCAACCTGCTCAGATGTTGACCTTGGTTTGGGTTTCGTTGTTATGGGGAGGACCTTCAGGGGGGCTGTGGGCACCTTGTTCAGGGCAAGGGCGGGGTGGGGTGGGATGGGGGGCAGTGTTCTTGCTCTGCCCTAAGTTCTCAGCTGCCCCTGCGCCTGCACACAGAGGGGACCACGACACGGGTCTCCTTTCCTCGGGGGAGACCGATGTCGCTCCTGCAGCTGTGCTGTCGGGGAGGAGGGCGCTCTGCCATCTGGCCCAGTGTCGGCCTGGAGCAGGACCTACGCGCCAGAGACGTCAAGGGCGAGCTTCCTCAGTCTTCCCGCCACCCTCCCTGGGATGACCAGACTCCGCTCTGTGCGTGTGGGGTTTGGGTGAGCGTTTCCTGCCTCCCTGTTGTAGCGATCCTTTAGGGGACCCTGTGCGACCGGAGCCCAGGCCTGTCCCCCCCCCCCACCCCCCCCTTCCCCACACACACACTCAGCAGGAGCAGTTTTTCCTCTGCCCTTTCCCATCAACACTGTCTTGGGTGGCAGCCTTGGGAACGGCACCTTCCCCACCCCTCCACCCACCGAGGACACCCCTCCACCCACCGAGGACACCCCGACCTTCAGCTGGGCTTTCCGGAGAGAGCTCTTTGAGGCGGTGCTGCTGTGCTTAGGCCGGGATCCGCCTTCAAGGAAAGAACTTGAAAATGTGAAGGAAAAACAGAGGCGCAGCTGTGTGGAGAAAGAGGTTTATTTGCTCACACCGGGTGAGGCTTCCTGCTGGAGCCAGAGGGAGACCCTAAGTGCCAGGCTTCCCTGAGGAGATGCCCAGGGCCGAGAGGGATCCAGATGGCCTGCCACCGTCCCCTCCTGGAGTTCAGAGGGCTTGTCGGAATGTGCTTTTCATCTGCCTCATGCAGAACCTGGAGGCCCGCTGAGGACTGGTTGTGGGAGAGTGCAGGTGTGGCCCGTCTGCACCGGGAGCAGCTGGGGAGGAGGCTCGCGGTCAGCAGCAGGAAGGGGTGCCACAGGAGATGGGTCCGCAGACCAGGGTGGGGCAGGAGGGCTGGATGCACCCAGAGGACTGGCAGGAGGGAGGCCACACACACAACGGGCTTGCAGCTCACGGGCAGGCACACGGAGGACTGGCAGGAGGGAGCCATGCACACAATGGGTTTGCAGCTCACAGGCCAGCAGGGCGCCTGGCAGCTCACGGGTACATGCACAGCTGGCCTGCAGCTCACGGGCAGGCACAGGGAGGACTGGCAGGAAGGGGCCGTGCACACGGTGGGCCTGCAGCTCACGGGCAGGCAGATGGAGGACTGGCAGGAAGGGGCCGTGCACACGGTGGGCCTGCAGCTCACGGGCAGGCAGATGGAGGACTGGCAAGGGCTGGGCGAGCAGCAGCCAGCCTGGCCGCCTGTGTGGCAGCTGGTGTGGCACATGTTGTCCTGGGCTGGCTGGGGTGGGAGTGAGGGCGGAGATGTCTGCAGGCTCCTTCCCTGGCAGCCTTTATTCCCAGGCTGTGGGCGTCCTGGCAACACGGAAGCATGACTGTTGACTTCCTCCTGCTTCCTCACGGCTGCTTCCTCGTGTTTCCAGCACCTTCTTTCCCGGGACGCGCTCTCCTGTGTGAGGCTCCACATAAACAAGCTTGGCTCCGAGGCCGGGTCCCCCCTGTAGACAGGGTGTTCTGGTTTGACTCCGTGGGCTCCTGGGGTTCCTCCAGGCCATTCTTGTGCACAGAGCACCCTGGCTCGCTCCGAGAACCGTGTCCTTTTAGCCATTTGTGTCTCATGCCCTTAGTGGAGATGTGAGGCAGTCATGTAGGCTGAGCGTGTATTCCGCACAGGAGGCATTAGAGCAGGACTCTGCAAACCGAAGTCTGCAGGAAGGATCTGGCTGCTGCCGTGTGTGAATAGAAGCTTTGTTGGACGCAGCCACGTCCCTGTCCCTGCGTCTGTCTAGGGCTGCTGAGGCGCAAGCCGCTGAGCAGTTATGGGAGAGGCCTTGTGGCAGCAAAGCCCGAACTGCTCACTATCTGCCCTTTGCAGAAAATTTGCCCAAAATCTATGCAGAAATTGACTTGTTTATGCAACAAACAGTCCACACCGTGTGCAGGCAGTGGGGCCATCCTGGCCTCGGGAGCCTTCCAGGGCAACGAGTGAACACGTGGGTGGAGAAATGCGCAAAGTAACTTCAGGGAGGAAAACAGGGACAGCAGAGAGAGTGAGGGTGCTGGCGGACGGCTGGGCCTCTGTGAGGAGGCGATGCTGAGCTGCACTGGGTGAGGTGAGGGGTCGGGTGGCGTCCCAGGCGCACCTGGGTGTGCGGACACTGCTGCAGAAATGAGCTCACTCAGGGAGCGATAGGGAATCTGCTGTAACCGACATTGTGGCTGTAGGTTGCTGGCTTTCACATGTGTCAACATTCCTGCATCTCACTTTCCTTGGGTCAGGAAGGAGGTAGAACCTTTAAAATATTTTTAAATTGAACTTATTGTGGTGACATTGGTTAATCTACACTAATAAAAGAGAAACATCCAAATTGGTGTCACTCCGCTACGCTCACCAGCCAATCAGCTGAGTATGCAAATTAACCCAACAAAGATGGCGGTTAATTTGCATATGCAGGCGTGGAGTGAAGACTGAAGACTGAAGACGGCTGAAGACTGAAGAGGCTTGGCTTCTCTGCTGCGGCCGGAGTGAAGGCCTGGGTCCCCGATGCTGGTGGAAAACCGGTGCCAGCAGCCAAGGGAAGGAAGGCCTATTGCACGAATCTCTTTGTGCAATAGGCCTCTAGTAGCATTATATAAATTTAAGGTGTACAATTCTAGAATACATCACCTGTCTACTGTATTGTGTGTTCACCACCTCAAGTCAAGTCTCTCCATCACCATTTACCCCCCTTTTACCCTCTCCTGCCTCCACACCCCCCTCCCCCCATTTCTTGCTGGTAATCACCATACTGTTGTCTGTCTATGAGGTTTTTTTCTTTTGTGCTTAATCCCTTCACCTTTTTCACCCGGCCCACCAGCCCCTCCTCTCTGACAGATGTGAGTCTGTTTCTATTTTGTTTGTTAGTTTACTTTGTTCATTAGAGTCCACATGTAAATGAAATCATATGGTTTCTGTCTTTCTCTAACTGGCTTATTTCACTTAGCATAATACTCTTCAGGTCCATCCATGCTGTCGTAAAAAGTGAGATTTAATTCTTTTGTGTGGCTGAGTAGTATTCCATGGTGCACATGTCCCACAGCTTTTTTATCCACTCGTCTACTGATGGGCACTTGGCTGCTTCCAAATCTTGGCTATTGTAAGTAACGCTGCAATAAATACAGGAGTGCATGTATTCTTTCGAATCAGTGTTTCTGGTTCCTTTGGATACATTTCCAGGAGTGGAATCACTGGGTCATAAGGCAGCTCCATTTTTATTTTTTAAATATATGTTTATTGATTTCAGAGAGGAAGGGAGAGTGAGAGGGAGATAGAAACATCAATGATGAGAATCATTGGTCAGCTGCCTCGTGCACGCCCCGCACTGGGGACCGAATCCACAGCCCAGGCATGTGCCCTGGACTGGAATCTAACCTGGGACCCTGCAGGCCGGCACTCTGTCCACTGAGCCACACCAGCTAGGCCGTGGTCGGCAAACTGCGGCTCGCGAGCCACATGCGGCTCTTTGGCCCCTTGAGTGTGGCTCTTCCTAAGCCTTAGGAGTACCTTAATTAAGTTAATAACAATGGACCTACCTATATAGTTTAAGTTTAAAAAATTTGGCTCTCAAAAGAAATTTCAATCGTTGTACTGTTGATACTTGGCTCTGCTGACTGATGAGTTTGCCGACCACTGAGCCAGGGCAAGGCAGCTCCATGTTGAGTTTTTGAGGAAGCTCCAAGTGGCTGTGCCTGTTGGCGTTCCCACCCACAGCGCACGGGTTCCCTTCCCCCACGTCCTCGTCAGCCCCAGAAACGAGGTAGCACCTGTCCCCACGTCTTTTTGGCTCTGTGCTCTGAAGAGTTCATCAGGCCTCTGTCCATTTATCTGTAAGATGGTCAGATATTTCTTAGAATTTGAGTGAGCG